TCAAAATCAGAATCGATATAATTCAAACCACACCCAACCCTATCCCTATAACCTCAGGTTATGAGTTTGCTCCCCAGCTTTGTTTAGAGCAGGTCTATTTAACTAGGCTGATAGGCTGGATATTAGTGGTTGGTGATATGACCTAAAATGAATATATAATGATTTGATCAGCCTCATTTTGATATGCTCACAATTGCCCTGATTCTCTGTCCTGTCCACCGTGGGCTGCACACACAGACTCACACACACACATACTGTATATATACAAATGCTGAAAAGTGATACACACACTGTGCCATTAGAGAGGAGAAACTGCACTGGTTAGGGTAATAGCAAATATGAGAAGCTAGAACTAAAGCTGTCTGTAACAAATCAGCTCCTCTCCTCTCCCTTTCCAACACAGTGCTACCTACAGACATACATACATTTTACCCAAGGTTTTTATTTGGTTTATCCTGTCTTTGAGTCATTTTCTGTACTTTGTGTGAAATAAAGCACATGTTTGTTCTTAATTTTATAATTCCTAAATTTCATTTTTAATAAATTACTAAATGTTAACAATCATGCAGAAGACATATGTAAGACCAAGGTAAGGATCATTGGCATTAGAATGTACTGGAGGCACGAGATATTGACTTCTACGGCTATTTATTTTTATTTATTCATATCTGTATTAAATCCATTATTACATATGTGGATGGAAAGCCCTGTCTGGGCTACTTAAGTCGGAGCTATTCAGTCTCAAAGGCTCAAGAGTCTGTTGGAAACTGTTTAACAATATTCATCTTGTTTTATACTTTTGTTGATATGGACCTGACAGAAAAACTTCTCGTCTTATAGGGGTGAAATGTAACTATTTGCACATCTGTATCAGTCGTTAAGCTGCTGGAATTGATTAGAATGATATCAGGTAAAAGTGAGAGAAAGGGATGCTTGTCATTGCATTAAGGAGCGACAGGTTATTATCTCTAAATGACCATTACCCAGTGGCCCTGACTTCAGTGGTGATAAACTGGCTGGTGAAGGACATCATCACAGACTACAGTTCATCATTCAATGCCATAATCCACATCACCCTGGTCATGCAGATGAGGAACCTAACTGAAATTAAAACTCGGTTCACAACCCACCAAGGTGTTTTGGGGGACACCTCCAACCTACTAGGCTTCAGCACAGGGGCCCCAAGACTGCGTCTCAAGCCAATTGCAGTAAACAACAGAGATCAATGAACTGTAACAGGTCTGACAGTCGAATAATCTGACCCTGAACAAAGATGAATGAGGGGTGGTGGGAGTTTAGGAGACAGCTGGTCAGTGGACACACCCTGTTAAAGATCAACAGAAAATCTGTTGATAGAGTCTCCAGCTTCAAATACCTCAACGTACAAATGAATGAGGACCTCATCTGGACTCTTCACACCCTGCAGGTACTCGGAAAATCCAGACAGAGGCTGCCTCCATTAACTGAAAATTGAAGGTCTAAACCCACATCCCAAAGGCCTGCTATCCTCAGCTGTGGAGGTGTCCTGACAAGCAGCCAGACTGACTGGCACTGGAAAAACTCCACCTACAACTTTGGCACCCTACACATAGGGGTACATTCAGCTGAACGCACCACCAGAACACCCCCTCTCATCCATCAGGAGAGTGAGGATTAGTTCCCAAAGCAACATAAGAGACATTTCACACCCCAACAATTGGCTGTGCAGTCAAATGGATAAAGCCAAAAGGCTGAAGAACAGCGTCTATTCTCAGGCCATCTGGACCCTCAATGTTCACTCTTTACTTCCACAAAGACATCACCACTTCTGCAATGCCGGTTTCTGCCACTGTCAATTAACTTTTATTAATACTAGTATATGTATATAGATCTATACAATTTGGAGAGCATAGATTCATAAATATGTGCATGTAAAGATGTAGTTTATTGTAGGTTTATTGATTTGCTTGGTTTTGAAAAGTTTTATACACTTAATGTTCTTACTTTTTAATCACTCTGTTCTCACACCATAACTGAGCCTCTCATGTTTCAATGCATGATTTACTCTTAATTTATGTAAATCTGACAAATAAAGAACCTTGAACCTTGAAACCTTGAAATTATATTAAAAAAAAAGTCTCAAAAGGATTGAGAGCAGGTGGCCACTTTCAGGATGAAAACTTCACAAGTTGCAGAATGGCAAGTGCTTACCTGTATAAAGCTCCATGGAGAAACAACACTATCCCGATGAGAATAAGTGCTGGCTGCCTTCATCTTTTTTCCTTAGAAGTGAGAGAAAAATTCTTCAACAAAACCCATTAAACAATTCCCCTCCAAGCCAGCGGATCACTAAGCCTGGGGGAAGTGTGCAGCCGCTGAGGTCAGCCACAGGTAGAGGCTTCACAGCTCTGCGGCAGTTTGATTGATTTGAACACGGATCCTTGTGTCTAGTAGCGCAGGTCAAAGCTGCTGAGCTCTCCTGGGAGGGAAGTGCAGGGAACAGCCTGCAGTTCTGTGAGCAGGGCCAGTCATCCAGCAGCCAATGCCTATGTGCTTGATGTCAGAGGTGTTAGGTTTCAGCTGGAAGCTGGGTAATGCTCTGCTAAGGGTTTAACCCAGCACAGGTGAGACAGGCTCCTCCCTCAGAGGAGGGTAGTGGGGAGGATTTGCGTTACTTGTCCGTAAACAGACAAACTAGACTTTCTGACGCATTAGCACAAAAAACCTTTTGACAAATAAAGTCAACGACATGATAAACAACCCAGCCACCTCCACAGTGATGGGATCCAAAATCAGAAACAAAACTGGATGTTATAAACAACATCAACTTGCAGTGCACAACTACTGTCTCCCCCTTCTGGTATATAGTGTAATAACTCTCAATCAGAGTTGAATAGAGTGAAATAATTTATTCTTTAGCTGGAGTAAATTTACATCCTCCTCCATCAAGTCCCAATGTGTCTCACTGTCAATCAATATCTACAGCTCATCCCCTGAATGATGACTTTCTCTTTTATCTGGAGCTCTCTTACTCTCACTCTCTCTATTTCTTTGTAGGTTTTCCCACCAAAGGCTCCACCATACTCCTATTACTGTAGCCTACTCTGTCTCTATCTCTACAGTTGCTGCCCTCCTCAATGCTTGAAAACTTGCTGGTTGATGTAAAACACATCACTCTTAGTGTGTAGTGCATTAAGTTAAACTAATAAATTGAGGCCAAATACAGAGAAATTGACCTGATATGCTTAATCGGCAGTGTTAGAACCAAGTTCCATAGACAAGATTCTATTTTTATTTAGTACAAATTCAATGTGTATAAATAAAGATCATCCAATTAATAAAATCTAAATGTTGTGTTGTGCGTTGTTTTGTCAAAGGCACCCAATTCTAGGAACACATACACAGGACATGTCTTAAAATAGCTTGTGAGATACTGACAGTATTCAGGTATACCCTATGTCCTTATACACCAGGAACACCATGCACTGTGCAATTAAAAAGCTGTAACTTCTTTTCAAAATAAAACTAAATATAGAATTTAAATCAATAACTGTTGTTGTTTCAAATCCAGATTACAACCATCAACCCATCCATTCACTATATGGCATATCCACTTTAACACCCTTGACAGGTCACCAGTCCATCACGTTGCTAGCATAAAGAGAGTAGTTTATTTTTTACATTTACATACATTGTCAATTTAGAATCTGCAATACACGCATACAACATATAAACCAAGTTTCTTGGACAGCTTTCTTCCACCTGTGCAATATTGTAAACATTAGAAACATCCTGCCTCATAAGGATGCTGAGAAACTAGTCCACGCATCTGTTACCTCTAGACTAGAATACTGTAATTTTTTAGTATCAGGATGTCACAGGAAGTCTGTAAAAAGCCTCCAGTTGGTCCAAAATGCTGCAGCATGAGTGCTGACAGGAACTAGAAGGAGAGATCATATTACTCCTGTCTTAGCTTCTATACATTGGCTCCCCGTAAAATTCAGAATATAATTCAAGATCCTGCTCCTCACATATAAAGCTCTTAACAATCAAACCCCTTCATATATCAAAGAGCTCATAACAACATATTATCCGAATAGATCACTTCGTTCACAAAACACAGGCTCTCTTGTGGTTCCAAGAGTCTGTAAGAGTAGAACAGGAGGTAGAGCATTCAGCTACCAGGCTCCTCTCCTGTGGCACCAGCTCCCACTCTGGGTTCAGGAGGCAGACACCATCTCTGCATTTAAAGTTAAACTTAAAACGTTCCTTTTGGGGAACACCCATCATGCACTGAGCACTTCTCCACTTCTCTCTGTCTCTCTGCCCCCCCACATTCATTTATTTATTTTAATACATGTCAATAACTATGTTTCTTTTTTCTCCCATAGTCCCCCTCTCTCTCTCTTTCTCTCTCTCATTGACTCCAGAACTGCAGGACAACAACTATTATTATTATTATTATCATTAACAATACTTATTAGTAATTAATTATCATATAATTTGTTACTGTTATCAATAATAACCAATAACCTCTTTACAATGTTATTGTTTACATTTCATCTAGTCAGATCTGATACCTGATGGTGCTCAAGTGTTCCCGGTCTCTCTCTCTCTGAGTGTTAAAGGAGAAGTTCGGTTTTTTTCAACCTGGTCCTTACTGCCAGCATATGGTATGTAGATCTACTCATCCATAAAGGTTTGGAGTAACTTGGAGTCCTTCGGACGCTTTTAGATCAACACGCGATCGGCGTATATCCATACAACGCAAGGGTTCGGGCATCCACAATACAGCCTCTAAATAATGTATTATCTGCCACGATACTCTTTATTTACTATGAATCGCCATGTAGATCTAAAATCGTCCAAAGGACTCCAAGTTACTCCAAACCTTTATGGGTGAGTAGATCTACATACCATATGCTGGAAATAAGGTCCAGATTGAAAAAAACCGAACATCTCCTTTAATAGTAGTAGCAGTACTCATTTAGTGAAGGAAAAAGAACAGTAGAGCCACTTACTGTACAAGTCTCTGTTTCATGGATGTCACGGCCTATCGTATTCAACGGTTGGGGCTACTGTTGGCTCATTGCAAGCCCATATATCATCTGCGCAGCAGTAGCAGGGGGCAGAAACAACTTAACACTACTTTTATCATGGACTTTTGATGTTGTACCGCAATGTCAAGCAGTGTGAGTTGTGTAAAATTTTATATTATTTCAACATCATCTTGTTGCCTATGCCATAGTGCCATTTTGCAACATGCTTTGAGGTCAAGACTTAGGTACACCCTCCATACAGCAGGGTTGGGTATTAAACAGCAATTACAGCTAAGCCACCTTTCCTCAACAAATAACTTATTTCTCTCTCATATAAAATAAAAATTAGTAAAAGACACCAAATAGGAAAAACAAACAGGGTAGTGAGTGGAGAGTTGTTTAGTATGGCTGCTAGGGAGATCTGCCATGTGACCCTCCATTGATATGTAACCTTGAAGAGATGGACTGCAGACAGGCAGCCTTCAGGCATTCTGCCTCAATTCTGCTACTGTGGGTCGCTTCAGACACGGCCACAGAGCAGGAGCTTGGAGACTACTTAGAAAGAGCGTCTGCCATGTAAAATTGCTTGAGTCCCAAAGGTAGGTGAGTTATGAAGTGTAAAAAAAGTTAATTCCAGTTGACATTGTTTTATTATTTATGGTTTATTTAGTTTAATCACTGTTATGTTAGTATTATCATATTTTGAATGAATGAATGAACATCAGAACAACAGCAAAAAGAGCCAACAACCCACATCATCTATTCAGAGCCTCTAGCTTCATCATGCACAATTATCATGCATCAATTTCTCATTATCATTTATAGCACTTTAATTATTATCAAATTGTTATATTTCCATGTGTATTATTTAACTTGTAGATGCATGTCCCCTTAATTAGTTCCCACCTGCCATGAGACAGGTATAGAGTTTTTGGGTATTTTATTTTACTCCCATCATGCAATCGCTTAAATATAATTTCCCGTATAACTGGCATAAATGGACTACTGTTTTTCTCCGCAATTACAAGTCATCCAACAAAGACATGTCAAGATGCATACACCGCAGGCAAAAGTATTATATGATGTTGGTGTTGGTGTATGCATTAAACATTTGTGAAAAAGGAACCTTAGCCTTCTCGTCCTGACTAAGGGCGGCATAGTAGAACATTTCTTCATGTTGGTGAAGACTGTGAGGATCAGACAATAAAGTGTGATGCGGAGGTCGGCCCACAAGAGACGCCACATTCGTTAAAGGAAGTATCACATTTGGAATGACCACATTTGTATGGGTGAAGCAGTGAGCAGTCAAGTAAAGGTTAAACAAGCAAACATTTTTAAGTTAGTATCATGAAAGTAGCACAAATGCTAATGAACAGCTGCTGAAGTTTAAAGTGCACCAGTATTTCCATCGTGACCATCTTAAAGAACAACAGTGGACATTTTCCATTCACTGGATGGCTTTATTAAGGAACTACAAGGACTATATAGATAAGTAAATGTACATATTAAATAGACTAAAGGTTAAAATTATCTAATTATTATACAACCCCACCTCAGAAAAAGTTAGGACAGTGTGGAAAATACGAATAAAAAAAGACAGCAGTGATTTCTAATTTGAATTTGTCTTCATTGCAGACAGTATAAAGATAATTTATGTTAGTCTGCTCAACTTCATTTTATTTGTCACTATACATCCATTCTTGCCATTCAGGCCTGCAACACATTCCAAAAAAAGTTGGGACGGTTGCAATTTAGGGCTAATAATGAGATAGAATAATTGAATGATGAAGTGATTTAAAATAGGTGCTGTCAACAAGTGATTATAATCATGATTCAGTACAAAAGCAGCATCCAGGAAAGGTCTATTCCTTTAAGAGCAAAGATGTGCAGAGGGTCGCCAGTTTGCCAACATGTGAGAAAATTATTGAAATATTTAAAAACAGTATTACTCAAATAAAGATAGGAAGAGATTTGGATATTTCATCCTCTACAGTGCATACCATTATTTAAAGATTCAATGAATCTGGAGGAATTTCAGTGTTTAAAGGGCAAGGGCGCAAACCTGAACCGACTAACCAATCCCTCAAACGACACTGCATCAAGAACAGTCATTCGTCCATCAATGATATAACCACATGGGCTCAGGATTACTTTGGCAAACATTTGTTAAGCACTACAATACGTAGTTACATCCACAAATGCCAGTTAAAACTTGACTGTGCCAAAAGGAACCGTGAACCGTGAAAAAAAGTGCTGTCTACTTCTCTGGACTTGAAGGCATCTGGGATGAACCATAACACAGTAGAAACATGTATTGTGGTCAGATGAGTCAGTATTTCAGGTCTTTTTAGAAAGAAATGGACGCCATGTGCTCTAGATCAAAAATGAAAAGGACCATCCAGACTGTTATCAGAAACAAGTCCAAAAGTCAGGATCTGTCAAGGTATGGGGTTGAGTCAGTGCTCTTGGCAAAGATAACTTACAATTCTGTGTTGTAGGGCTGTCAACAAATATTCTAAATTCGAATATATATTCGAATATTTTGAAAAAACGAATATTCGATTGTGAAAATTAATATTTGGCTGTGGAAAAAAACACATCAGCGGGTGCTTTGCGAGTGGGCGCACTGCATGACGGGTCAGGCCTAAAAATGTGGTTTCGGATCGGTTCGGCAGGGTTTTGTAGCCAAAACACGGGCACTTCAGATCCTTCTCCCTGCGACCCTCTGTTCAGTAGGCAGCAGTCTCACTCACTCATTCACTCACATACACATCCACTACAGTTCTGGCTGATGTGCCCCCTTAACTCGCAACATACACTCCCGCTACCTTCAGCTCACGTCAGCCACAGAGACCCGTTATTACCTTTACAGTCTATGGTTATTATCAATTGTTATTAACAAATTGTTTATTTAAATCACTATGCGCATCGCGCATAAAGAGAGAGAGGGGGGTGAGCGACGGAGCTGTCTTTTTTTACGGTCTAAGTTTTACGGTTAGTTCATTTACTTATTTTATAATGTATAGGTATGTTTTATGTTAAAACTGAAATAAAAATACCTATACAAGTAGTTATGTCTCGTTGTATTAGTTTGTCCTCCTGTTATTGAAACAATGCATATTGCGCATGCGCGTATATTCGAATGGTTTGAACCCATGTGTTTTTTTAGAGTGAATATTCAAACGTCATTTTGGAGCAATTTTGACAGCCCTACTGTGTTGGCAGCATTAATGCCGAAAAGTACATAGAGACTTTGGAGCAGCATATGCTGCTTTCTAGACGACTTCTTTTCCAGAGACACCTACGCATATTTCAACAAGACAATGCAAAACCACATTCTGCACACATTACAAGGGCATGGCTGCCGAAGAAGAGGGTGGGGGTGGTGGACTGGCCTGCGTGCAGTCCCGACTTGGCCACAATAGAGAATGTGTGGTGCATTAAACAGAGACCCCGTACTATTTCACATCTTAAGACTTGTTTACAGGAAGAATGGGACAAAATGACACCTGAAACACTTCATCACTTGGTGTCTTGAGTCCCTAAACATTTTTTATGTGTTGTGAAAAGGAATGTCAACAGTACAAAGTTTCTGAAATATGTTGCACAAATCTACACTTAAATAAGTGTTTATTTAAAAAAAAACCCAATACAATTTATGATGTCAAACATCAAATAATGTACTTTTGTATTGTGTTTACTGTAATACAGGTCAAAGATCATTCATAAATCACTGTTCTCAGTTTTAATTTTGCACATTTCACAAGTTAAGTATGCTGGTATTTACAGTTCAAAGGATGTATTTATATTTCTGCTATTTGATGGTTCTGTAGCTCATTGTAGTTTACATTGTTGTGTCAGATCAGAGTCCAGCTAAAGTAACTTCTTACTCCAGAATTTCAAAGTGCTCTTTGAACACAGCATTGAAATGGAAATCAGAAAACTTGAGGCAAAGGATAAATATTTAACAGCTGAAAGAGAAGCTCTAGAAAAGTGAATGGAAGCATGGAATGCAAGAAAAAGAGCTCAGTTCATATCAGACATTACTAATAGAAAAATTAAGTTGCAAGAAAGAAGTGGAACAATTGGAGGAACTAAAAAATAACAATGCAGCACAAGCAAAGCTCCAAGTGTATACTGAAAGCATCAAAGGTGATGAAGAAGAACACCTCACTGCTGCTCCTCACTCGCAAAGACAAGAAGGTTATGTTTCTCAACCAAGCATTCCTGTTTCTCTCTCCAGGTCTTTCAAGTCAAGGCTCCTTTAAATCAACCACTTCCTCTCAACAAGCTCCACTCAGCCAAGCTCCTGTTCCTCAATCAGCTACATTTACTACTTCCCATGAACCTTCTAATGACCTTGTGAAAACACTTGCTGAAGCAATTACAGCCAATAGGATTCCAATTCCAGAACCTTCTGTTATCTTAGAAGATCCTCTGAAGTATAGTGACTGGAAGCTATCTTTCCAGACATTAAGTGATCGCATGAACTTGCCAAACCAAGACAAGCTTTTCTTTTTACCCAAGTATGTAGGTGGTCCGGCCAAGAGGCTGTTGAAGAACACTTAATTGTTGGAACAGAAACTGCCTTCCATGCTTCCTGGATCATACTTGATGACAGATATGGAAATTATTTTGTAGTTGGCAAATCATATAGTGACAAAATAGAATCATTGCATAAGACTGGAACCAAAGACAGCAAGGAACGCCGTGAATTTGTAGACTTCCTGAGCAGTGTTGAATCAGCCATGCCTTAATAATGTATACTGTGTATACTTTAACTTGCATTCATGTAAATCTATACGTACCCGGTTTTTATTTCTACATATGTATATCTTTTATTTCATTTTAGTCTTACTTGATTTTTATATTACTATGTTTATAACTGCTTTTGCTCTTTCACCTCTTTCTCAGGAGCTCTGTGACGTTTGAATTTCCCTACGGGAATTAATAAAGTACTTCTGAATTGTCTGAATTATGTTCAAGGTTTAAAAACTCTAAATGACTGCTTTGAGAATCAAACGATAGCAGCCAAATTGCCAGATTGGTTGAGTTC